TCCACTGTATGATTTTTACCCTAAAAAAATAATCCTTAAAAATTATATTTTTTATCATATCATATATATCACATATATGTACATATATATATATAAATATATATTTTTAACCCTCCCCTTTCTACTAATCTCTGCTCTAGTTCGCTTACTCCCCTTTTTCCCTTTACACTACCATACTATCATATAATGCTCTTCAACATCTAACACATTTTATTGTAATCTTTAACTCTTCTTACCCCTCAAGAGGGACCCTGAGGGGTGGACTGTTTTTTTTTCCCTAAAAGGGAGAGGGGGCCACCCAAGGATTAGCACACCTGGGAGAGGGACATGTATTCTGGTGAGCCACGCCAAAGGTCTCTTCAGAAAACGGCAGTGACAGGAACCTCAATCATGCCACACCATCAAGGGAATAACACAAGCTAATGTAAGAGCACGAGCCCGAAGAGGGGTCCAGTTCACCAGAAGGCGCGCAAAGAGTTATCCTAATGCTGAAGAAATGGTGATAGAAAAGCAAAGTCTACAAGAGGCAAGTCTAACTGCAATCAATTAAACTCGCTGGCATCAACGCGTGCACTACTAGTGCACTATGTAAACACAGGGATCAAGCAAGCTTGGGTCGTCACGTTGTCAAATCCTCTCTTTAGAAGGCCTCTATGACAGACCCCAGAACCAGCAGAGCCCCCCACAGGCATGCAACAAGCGATGCTCCAGCCTCACCACAGGGGATATAGGTGAGCCCACCCGAGGCAGGACCGGGAGAGGGGTCTTGAGGTGCGATCACCTCCAATTTCCGCTGAGCACTGCATAAGGGAAATTACGAATAACGTGTGGGCGCTAGAGCATCTATCTATCTGGCTGCTGACTGCGTAAGGAACACTACGCAGTGTGTGGTTGCCGGGGTACTCTGAGAGAGAGAGAGATAGAGAAGAGGAGTGGAGGTGAAAGTTGGTTAAGAGCGTGTACCGAGTGTTCTGAGAGTGGCCAGACGTTCCTGGAGGTCATGCCGTGTGTTGCCAATCGCGGTGACGTGTTGACTAGCCACGCCCCAGCACTCATGACCTTTGACCCGCTCCTAAACTCTACAGCCCACTCTCCATTGACCAGATGCTACCCCTCTGGGTGTTGTCACCTCTACCACCTCAACCACTTTACCCGGAGTCACGGCCTCGCCTGGATGCTTCACTTCTGGGGGCATCCCACTCTACCTCAAGTCGTGTCTCCGCTCGGACACGGCCTTCCCCTGGGGTCACCAATGCCCCTGCTTAGCTACCTCCTGACCTGGCTTCCCCGCACTAGCAAGAGATACAAATTTCGCCTTCGCTACCAGCCTCCACAAACATCTCCCCAATAAAGAACTAGAACCAACAAACGTGTCTCCATACACCACCAAGTCGAGGCTACTAACAGAGAGTTAAGCAGAGTCTTAAAGAGAGAAAGTGTGAGTGAAAGAGAGAGACGGTGAGAGAAAGAGAGGGGAGAGATGGAAGAAAGGAAGGAGAAAAGGAGAGAGAGATGAATAACAGCGAGAGAGGGAGAGGGAAGAATGGGAGAGAGAGAGAGAGATCCATAAATACATACATAAATAAATACACATACACATATATGTGTGTGTGTGTGTGTGTGTGTGTGTTATAGATATATTATATGCATATATATATACATATATATATATATATACATATATATATATATATATATATATATATATATATATATATATATATAGTATATATATAATATATATATATATATATGTGTGTGTGTGTGTGTGTGTGTGTGTAGTATATATATAATATATATATATATATATATATATATATATATATATATATATATATATATATATATATATATATATATATATGTGTGTATATATGTAAACACACACATACTGTATATATACGAAAATCCATCTTGTCAAATTATCGTACCGCTTGAACGAAATCGGCTGTCTCACATACGTTCCGGAGCGTCCCGTGGCACGAGTTTCTCTACATAAGAAATAGTATGATTGTATGGTAACTGAGATTTGAATGGGTTACACCTGATGTCACATCACATGCTAACATTATGGGTCATAACTCAAAAAGTTGGTCCCATATCCAAATGGACGTAAGGGACTTGTTGATAGAGAAACATGCCTACAAAGCTTAATCTTGACCTTGACCCCAGCATGCTGACGTCAGCATACCAGTGCTCATTCACAGCTGAGTCAACTGAGAGGGGCAGCTGGGTAGGAACCTAGGACCAAGCGATTGCAAAGCCAGTGCTCTACCACTGAGCTATGCCTATGAATAACTTCCTCATTCTTATCATGCTATATCATTATTGTTATGGCTATTATTCATATGGTGGTGATGTTTTAAATTATAATGGTAAATGATAATACAATAACGATAATAATCAAGTATGATAATATTAAGACACAATAATAACAGCAATGACAGTACAAGGACAGTGATGATCACAATAAAGATAGTATATTCATCCATTGCTTGTATTCATTAATTATGTCAACTTTTGCTATATTTCGTTGTTAGATATCGATAGGAATCTCCTGATATCTGATAGGTCTGAAGCTCCAAACTGGTTTTAGAAAATTAACTATTCATAACTATACTCATTATGTTTATTACCATACCTATGATCATTACAATAATGATAATAATGATGGAGGTGGGCTGTGGGTCCCGTGGGGAGAGTGACTGCTGGGGTGCAGGTTGGGAATGTGAATTACTTGTTTCCTGGATTAAGACCAAGATCCAGGATTTTGGGGGCCTGCTAGGAGAACCTCTTCACAGAAATCACAGATAGCTTTACATACCTTGGCAATGCAGCTCATGTTTCTGGGCTGTCAGACCAGGAAGTCAGTAGATGGATTGGTCTGGCAGCAGGAGCCATGAACTCAGTCAACAAGAGAATTTGGAGGTGCTAGTACCTATGCAGAAGGTCTAAGTTACGTAACTTCAAGGCCTTGATACTGCCAGTTTTGCTTTATGGAAGCGAAACCTGGACGCAATCTAGTTCTTTGGGGTCATGTCTCAGTGACTTTAGTGACAAGTCCCCTCACGGGATCATGGGGTACAGTTGGCAGGACCATGTGTCCAACTGAGGACTTCACTGTGCGACTGGCATAGGACCTGTTACTTGCATAATCCATGTCCGCCAACTTAGGCTATACAGGCACCTAGTTCGTTTCCCGTGGATGACCTTACCCATCAGGTTGTCTCTTTATGAGACAACCCTGCGTGGAGGAAGCTTATGGAAAGACCTAGGAAGTCGAGGCTTGGGCAGCTCTATCAGACCTGTCATGAAGAACTTGAGATGGGCTGAGGGCCTGCCTGGCGACACGCCATGAGGGACCCCCGTGGCTGGAAGCAAAAGGTGGATGCGGCTATGCGCCCCGTCGGCGTCAGCCCCATTGATGATGATGATTAATTGTAGCTGTACTGTTTTTTTGAAATTGTTAAAAAAATATTATTGTCATTATATAATTATCATTATCATATCTCATGAACATCTATATGGAAGACAAGAAGAAACTGATATTTTAGTATTTGTGGCGCTTCATTCAAAGGACCCCTTGCTGCCTATCAAAATGTATACAAATTCGAATGTTTTGCTCTATCTGTGATTCTATATTTCGACAGTGTTTATTCATCTATCTGCATTTTGATATATCATAAACACACGAAGTATATTTACTTTTTCATGGAAATCCTTGTTTCATAATAAAAATAAATCATGAACAGTCTCTTAAAAGTTTAGATATAAATGTAAGCCACGTTAAGAAATTTAAACGATTATCAATCCTTCATTTATCAATGTTACCTTCAAAGGTAATTGTATTAAGTTTTATTTACTCTTTTCAGTAGTTGGCATTATACCTTTTCGGTGATAGGTGTCACATGCATATCGACGAGCTTATAAGACAGGTTGGCACGCCTATGTAAACTTAAAATATCTTGAAATTCGGCAGCGAAAAAAGGAAAAAAAATGCAAGAAATTCCTCATAAGCTCGATGCAGATAAAGCCTTATGTTTCAAACGATATTGCAAATTCGGCTACATTTAAAGTTTTCCGACCTCAAGTGTCAGTAGGCCTACCGTTGTAATTATGTGTGCGGTATATAATTACGAACTGATGATTACTGTATACTTGTTTTCAGTTCACCAATGCATTGTGCTAGCGTTACTTCTAATAACATAAGCAATTACTATTACGCAAGGACCGTGAGTAGACTTCGATACTGGAACATGTTTTACTGTCTAAAGAGAAGAGCATTATCCTGGTAATACTCTAATATACACAATGCTTCATGTCATCCCGGACTTAAATTTAGAGCAAAGACCGGAGCGGGCTGGAATTCAACGGAAATTCGTCTGCTAAACGGAAACAAAAGACGACCGACGGAGTTTTCTTTCCGAATGTCGTATTTTTGTTATTGACTACAGATTGTTGATGTAAAAGAAAAGTGTTTTAAACAATATTGAGATATTTTCCCATGTTCAAGTAAATTAAACATGAAAATTGCTGAAACCATCATGTTCAGTTCAATATGATGTGGCAGACCGAACGTCGTCGCGGCGGAAATTTCATTCGATGTCACGTCAGCTGGGTCTTTTAGCTGGGCATCACCAAAGGTAGAGCCACAGTAACATAGAATGACTTTAAACCGTTAGCCCTACATCACTCACAATGAATAGTCGTATACATTTAAGATAAATCAAGTTTACAGGTTCGATGTCGCATTTTCTTATGTTATACATCTAATACATTTCTATAAAGAGATGTGGGTGCATTTTATGTTGTTGAATGTTACATTATTGGCTTGGTAATGTATTATTGTTATGTTTTATGCAGTGCAATAAACAAGAAAGTAACACAGGGAATCTTGTAATCACCATACTCTGATCCTACGGATGGTCCTGGGTTCGTGCTCTACGCACTGTAATTGTAATCTAGTATTTAAACGTTTATGATAGTGTATGGTCCAATTT